TCAATAGCCCAATATTCTTACAATCATGAGAAAGGTTATAGAGTCTTTAACAAACAAACATCTAATATCTAATCTTGACTCTAATAACTTTCAACAGATTCCATTCCTCTCATTCTGCTGGTGATTGTAATAGTAAAAAAGATGCACATTAGGTGTATGTATTATTGTTGTACATTATGTGAATGCAGTGAGTCAAAGGCTATTGCTCTTGTCATATCAAAGGCTTTCCATAAAGTCTTTCAATTAACTTCTGGAGTATGTTAAGGTTCCATCCTTTGATCTGTATCTGTATTAATGGGCTTGATGGTGTTTAGCGTATCCAACACTATTATCAATATCAATACTAGTATTTCAGTGCTGAAAAAATCCAATACTGGTAATACCAGTATAATACCAGTATTTAAAGTTTTAAAAAAAAATTAAAATGCAATTAAAATCCTTAGTAAATAATAAACATTTACAATGATTTAGTAAATTTTTTATTTTATCAAAATTAAAATTTTTTTTTATTTCTTGCTTTTTTTATTGTAAAATATGCAGGTAAAAAATAAAGGCCATTTAAAGTGTCATCCTCAAGTTTTTAAGTATTCGTAGGAGTTTTGGGAATATATACCCTGAGTATATATTTCCATTATGGTTTTTGATAATTTTTCAAAATGTTTAATTATCCCTTCATTTTACATGTTACTCAAAATTGCCAGTGGTTCTGTTGACAACACTGTAAACATGTATGCTCACTGATTATTTTGCTCAATCAGTCGAACTAAGACATTTAAGGCAGATTAGCTAAGGTGTTTAAAAGACAGCTGAATCCAAACTCTTGTACTGTTGATAACCATTGTAAAGATGACCATTGCATATTTAATAATTGTACTAAGTTAGCTTTCAATTCAGCTGCTATATTTATGTCTTTAAGGTTATTTATTATGGACAATAGTGTTGTATTTGCTAACAATGGTGTTTCATCACAATGTTTTAAAGTCATTTCAATTCTCAATGTCAATCAGTGACTTGCAAATGCAATATATTAATTTCATAAAACATTTGAGCATTGTGTGGAAGGTACTCCAGCAAGTTTTGGAGTTGAGCATTAGTGGAAAGACTTTGCATATTTCGTTGAATATGTATTTTTGAAGTGTTTTTTTTTTAATTAGAGATTGGCAAAACAATTTCACAATAGTGCACAAACTAGTGATTACCTCTCCAAATCATCAGTCAGTTCAGTATCATCCTTCCCACTTTTCACAACATGAAACCTGCCAGAAAAGTCTTCTTCATTCGTTCTTCATCATTGGTTATATTTGCATCTTCAATTCAAGTCCACTGGTACTTCCACTATATGATTTTTTCTTTTTGTTGCATTTCTTACACTTATAAGACTTATAACATAGAATTATTGTCAACTAATATGCTGGTGCTGAACTTTTTGAATATTTTTTGCGCTATGTTGTGTGCTTATTATGTTGTGTGCTTATTATGTTGTGTGCTTATTATGTTGTGTACTTATTATGTTGTGTGCTTATTATGTTGTGTGCTTATTATATCGTGTGCTTATTATGTTGTGTGCTTATTATATTGTGTGCTTATTATGTTGTGTGCTTATTATTTTGTGTGCTTATTATGTTGTGTGTTTATTATGTTGTGTGCTTATTATGTTGTGTGCTTATTATGTTGTGTGCTTATTATGTTGTGTGCTTATTATGTTGTGTGCTTTGGAATATTAAAGTAATATAAATTTATCCATTAGACATAAAGTTTTAGTTTTAAATTTAAAATATATAAGTTTGTTTTTCATTGAAAGTAATCATAATTAACTACAAAACTTTATTTTATTAGTTACATTAGTAAGCATTACTAAGTTACATCATTATTAATGTTCTATAATTTCTATCTGGAGTAATGAAGACATAATTAAAAGTCTTAGTATTTAAAATATGAAATATGTCTTAACTTGAGACATTTGTCTTTTTTTAAAATAATTTAATAATAATTAAAAGTAATAAATTTAGGCAGGAACAAATGTTATAGGTCATAAATTTTGCAGTTTTTATTCTGGCATTAACAGCCATTTAAAAGTCCTGCATTTAATGCTGGTACTAAAGTATTTTAAATGATTCATGTATCTTAACTTGTCTTTACTAACACCAATTAACTTAACTTAAATGATGTCTGTTACTAACTCCAATATATACCTTTTTATTTAGGATCAGTACTTTCTATAGTTACAGTACAATAAACTATTTACTAAACATTTGTTCAATGGACAAGTGTTTTTTGTGGTGCAGCTTCAGATTCTCATATTCTGACTTGTATCACTGTGTTCTTTAGTTTAAAATTTTTTAATGATTTTTTAATGCTTTGTTGTAAGGTTGAATAGCTTTATTAAAAACCATTTGACGCCATAGCAGACAATCTTAATTTAACTGTACGATAATGCTAATTATTGCACAGTTGGTAGGTAATATGATAATGCTAAGCAGGCGGTTGGAATCACAGTGGAAATAATTCAGTTCATTATCACATTTACTGTATGGTTGAAATAAATTGTTGTTGAGATCCAGTGTCACCTTGAGGTTATTTTTATGTTGCATTGCATAGAAATAAAAACTTTTAAAAATTTTTTTGAAATGTTTTTTGATTTTCTTTATCTCCTTGCAATTTTGGTTCCTTTTTTTTTTGTATAAACCAAACCTCATCACAATATAAATCAAATCATGTGTCATCAAGATACCTAATTCATCTTTACTATAATGCTGCAAAAGTTGAAACAAAAGAAAATTCAAACCAAATTCCCACAAACTCGCATACTTCAGCACCACCATTAGCAACCATTGTAACATCAAAAAGTCTACCTTTTTTCGTTATCCACACATCTTTCTTGAAAAGTAAAGAGTTCCTTCCATGTTTTATAAACAATTTTTGCTCAGTATTTATTACAAGATGTTGCTCAGCAAATAAGCAAAGTTTATTGTATTGTTAAGAATTTTTTCATTTATCAATAGATAAAAATTATTGGTTTCAAAAACTAAAAATTTGAAAAAATGCTTCTCCATATTTTTTTATAAACTAGTAACATTTATGGTGCTTTGCAATTTATTAACAAATAGTTTATTTTTGAGTTTAAAGTTAATTTTAGATAACTTATTCTTCCAACCTCATTTTTTGGTGTAGTCAAAAAAAAAAAAAGTTATTAGCTTAAAGTTTAAATTCAAAAGTGTTATTGGTAAAGTTTGCTTAAGGATCTTTTATGGAGAAAAAACATCTATATGATCTATTTACCTTGATTTTATTGAAAACATCATGTTTTTCAGTAAAATCAACATATACAGATTGTTTACCTTGATTTTATTTTTCAATATAATCAATTTATACAAATTTTAAAAATAAAATAATTAAATAGGGATATGTTTACATTACGACATACGTTTCCCTTTTAATATTTTATCTTTTAATTTTTGGTTACTTTTTTTTGTTTGTGGCCATGATAATCATTTCTTTAATTTGAGGTGGGCATTTGATCAAGTTGATTCCATAATTGATATAGTCTTTTTTATATGATAGGTTGTTATTAATAAAAAATAATGCTTTCCATCTCATCTTCTTTAACAATGATTCTGTTTTCTCAAGTAGTTTTAAAGTCAGCATATATATATATATATATATATATATATATATATATATATATATATATATATATATATATATATATATATATATATATATATATATATATATATATATATATATATATATATATATCAACTAGGATTTCAAATAAGCATTTTTATATAAAATATTATCTTTCAACTTTTTATATAATTTCACTTCTTATGAAAAAAATTCAACAAGCAAAGTTGGATTCAAATAATTTTATCCATTCAAAAGTTATGAATAAAATATTCAGAAAAAAAATGTAACATACAGAAAGAGGACCTGGAGAAAACTTTATCAGAAGCTTTTTTATTGGGAACCAATTCTTGAAAAAAGTACCTAATTTTAGACATGGTTTTGTTTAAGTTGCATAAAACTATATAAATTATATATAGATTTATATAGCCATAGGAAAATAATGATCATTACAATTCAATAGCATATTGAATTATTAGTATGGTTTAAATTTATTTGGTCAAAAAGATATTGGAGTATTTCAAATTTGAATATTGTATAAAAATATTTAAATGACTTTACTTTTACTCATTTTAAAACCATATCAATAGCTTGTGATAGCACAATGCTATCAAAACAGCTTATGAATAGCATTATAATGATAATTAAATTTATTAATACAAATAAAAACATAAGCATTATAATTTTAAACATAACCTTGTGTACATTAGTTTTAAAAATCTCAGAAGAAAATAAATATAACATCAAATAATAAATATAAAACAAGTTCAACATTTAAAGTTTTCTTGCTTTGTATATTATTTTCTTCAAAAATTTATGTTTAAAGGGACTACCAAGTCCCGAGACATGTTGTTTTCATATTAAAGAGAATGTTAACAAAAAAACGTCTGAGCAAATTTTTATTGATTAAAACTAATTAATAAATGTATACCAAGAAAAACAAATCTTGTTATTTTAGTCGAAGCTCGTCTTCTCCATTTTCTGCGGTCTTTAGAGTATGTAAAATAAACGCGATTTTCCAGGTGCATTATACAGACTTGATAATTTATTCAAGCGCGTTTAATTCATAGGAGTTATAGTGCTCAGACGTTTTTTTTTTAACATTCTCTTTAATATGAACACAACATGTCTTAGGACTTGGTAGTTCCTTTAACATGCCATGTTGCTTGATTAGGACAGTAAATTAGGGAGGTTGCTTAAAAATGATATAAAATTTTATTAAAACTGTGTGGTGCAAGTTTTAAATTGAACTGTTGGGGTAGCAATATGACTTAATTTCATAGTTACATTTACATTTATTTAAATTCATAATTACATTTTTCTTTGTTTTTTAAATTATTTAAGCAACAACTCTAAAGTTGTTTTGCTTTTAGAAGAGAAGTTTATAGACTATTAGAAGAAGAAGGTTTAGAAGTACCAAACTATGCTATATTTAACCGAGACAAGCAGGGAAACCCTGAATCTGGTGAGGAAATAGAAGAATATGATGACACTATTATTGTCAATGGAAAAACTCTAACTAAGCCTTTTGTAGAGAAGCCTGTCAGTGCAGAGGATCATAATATTTATATATATTATCCTTCATCAGCTGGTGGTGGTTGCCAAATATTGTTTAGAAAAATTGGAAGCAGGAGCAGCGTCTATTCCTCTGAAAGTCGTATTCGAAGAACTGGATCTTATATTTATGAAGATTTTATGCCAACAGATGGAACAGATGTGAAAGTAAATTAATTTGTTTGTATAAAAAATTATTTATTATGTTTATAATTTAATTAATTTATTAAATAGTTCAAACCATTTTTAAAAAAATCAAAAAAAATTTCAATAACTACCATATACATCCAAACCTTAAAATTTCAATACTACAATATACATCCAAACCTTTAACTCTTTTAAATTTAAATCTTTTTGGTACATATTTGACACCTATTTAAACAATCAGATTGACAAACTGATTGACAGACTGAAGTGAAATATGGCTTAGGTGTCTTCATTAACAACAAACTGCAACTTGTCAAACATTACCTAGCTAAACTCATAAACCAGTGGGCACAAGTTAATACAAATTAAAACATTTTAATACAAATAAATACAATACAAATTAATACATTTTGATACATGTTTTAGACATCTAAAACATGTATTAACATGTATTAATTTGTATTTTAGATGTTTAAGACAACTTTTACCCACTAGGAATGTGCTAAACAAGTATAAGACAGTCTGCTAGCAAAGAAAAGGTGTATTTTACTATGATGCATATGCAGACCTTTCCAAAAATGAGACCTTTCCAAAAATGAGAAAAATAATATAAAAAAGTTAAAGCAATGTTTTTAGTCATGTCACAGATTCTGTTATTTTTTAGTGTTTTTTATTTTTGTTTTTAATTTTTCAACAAAATATTTTTTAACAAAATATTTAAAAAAAATACTCACTAAAAAAGTAACTAGGCTAAGCTTTAAAAAACATAAAAACTATATCATCTGTCTTCATTATATAGAGTACATTTAATACAATATTTATTTTTATTTGTAATACTTTTGGACTTCCAGAAAGCCATGATAAGAATATAAAATAAATTCAAGAATCCCACACAAATCCAATAACAAAAAAGAATGTTACTAAAGTCAACTGGGATGCATCTGGAGTTGTGGAGCATAAACAATATTGTGATGGAAATATAAACTGGGAAAATCCTAAAATGCTTTCTGTTGTTTCAAAACAACTACACGAATAAAATTCCTGAGGCAAAGAATACTAGAAAAATTCTTAAGATAAACATTTGCGATCCTCAAAATCTAGATAAAATATTCAACTTACTCACCATTGGAAACCATTTTTCGTAAAATTAAAAAATTTTGAAAATATCACATTGCAATGATATCATTTTTGTTATGTCTACAACAATTTTTTAATAACGGTTTATTAACAACTAATTTAGTTTGATAATGGCTCATGCTATATGAGCAAAAATATGACTTAATAATAATAAATAGTATGATACCAAACATGTTTTATTAATTTATATTATTTTTACATATACTGTTAGAGATGTCACTTAAATATTGTGTGTGTGTGTTTGTGTTAAGCATGTGCATCTCAAAACGGTACAAGACAAAACGAGACGAAACGATAAAAAATATTATTTCGATAAAACCGGTACGAAATGAAACAACTTTTATACAATTTCGCAAAAAAGGGTACAAAACCAAATTTTTTTTGTTTTGTGAAAAATATGGTACAATTCGAAACAATAATTTTTGTTTTGTAAAAACTGGTATGAAATGAAATAAGATTAAACTAAATAAAATAAAAATTAACCAGTGCAAAACTAAATAAAGTTAAACTTATTAGTTGAACTTTCATTTACAAAACATTAAGTTAATGAGTATTAAACGCGCATTTGTTCTGCTTGAATGTTATAGTTCATGTATTGCTCGGATTGTGGGCATTGGAAAATATCCGTTTGGAACGGGGGAATTATGAAACATTCCGTAAAAACCAATACGAAATAAAGCACATTTTTTTTGTTTCGTGAAAATATGGTACAAAACGAAACAAGCTTTACTTGTTTCGTAAAAATACTATACAAAGCAATATGATATTTTTTTGTTTTGTAAAAATGGCATGAAATGAAAATTATTGTTTTCTACCGTGACAAGCCAAATTTTTGAAAGTATACGAGAAGACGCAGATGTCTAGTATGTGTGCATAAATGTTTTTCTAATATGTTGAATTATTTTCATGTATTACTTTAAGGCATAGCTCCTTTAATATTTATTAACTTTAAGGTTGATAAATTTTTTTTTTTTTAAATTAAGGTGTACACAGTGGGTGAAGAGTATGCTCATGCAGAAGCTAGAAAATCTCCTGTTCTTGATGGAAAAGTAGACAGAGATAGTCTTGGCAAGGAAGTTCGCTTTCCAGTAATTTTATCAGCTCATGAAAAAATGATAGCAAAAAGAGTTTGCAGATTATTTAAGGTTTTTTTATTTTATTATTATTATTTACTTTAATTTTTCTCTAAATTTTCTAACAATCTTATATGACAAATGATAATATTCAGGGTGTACCAAAATTTTTTAAATAATATTCATATTAGGTATATTTTTTATTTTTGTAATTATTTATTGAATTAATTATTGATATAACTTACCTTATCTTATATTTATGAAAAATAGAAGGAATTTTACTTATAATTTTTTTTACTTCGCTTGTGCATGTAATGAAAGATTGGAATAAAATAATAATAATAATAACTAGCATTCAGGACCTGTAAAATATGGGTCTTAATATGTCTATTATAAACTGATCATTTCTAAAAACAATATATGTCTACCTTTTAAAGTTATAAATAATAAAAAAAATTTATAACATAGCTTTGAAAAATTTTAAAAGCTTCGATAGTCAATTGTCCAAACTGCTATTTAGTGGTAAATAAAAACTGCTATTTAGTGGTAAATAAATCTGTCAAATCTTTGTTTTGATAAAAAATGTTGTCTCTTTAATGTGTAATGAATGTGTAGTCTTAACTAATTCCCTAACCATATTAATAACTTAAGTATCTCTATCGTGATGTAAGAGCAAAAAATTTTTACCACTGTTTTGATGTGTATTACAATTTTAAAAAACTTTTTAAAAACTCTCTTTCTTTTGTTTGTTAAAGTATATTATATCTTTATATATAAACAATAAAACTTTAAAATGTTTTAATTTGTAATTTAGAAAATTGGAAAAGATTTAAAAAAATTAATATGCAAGCGACAGGATTTTAACCCTCATGTTGTACTTCAGCCACTAAGACACACTAAATTGCTAGTTTTTAATACTATTTAAAAAACAAGGCAGAAAATTTGAACCTGTAACTTTATTTTTTTTAAATGGTTGTTAAGCATGAAGTTTATATTAAATAATTTGGTTAATGCAGCTTGTGATAAATATTTTTGATTTGTGAATAAAACTTATAAATTGTTTTGATTGATTCAGCATGTCTTTAAAAATAAATTTTATAAACTTTTTGTGAGATTCAAAAACAAATTTTTTAAAGTTTTTTTTTAAGATGAAAAGAGAAAATAGAGATAAATTGTGCAACTTGTGGAGAAGGATCAGATTGGGCTAATTGTAACACAACTTTAATGTTGAAAAAATATGTTTATTTGTTGTAAAATTTTTTTTTTAAAAGTATTCCTTTAGTCAATAAACAATTCATTCTGAAAAATGCCAAAAGTTTAGAGTTTTGAGTGATTGTGTTATGGGTTTAAAAACATAATACACTTCGTTCAAAAAAACAATACATTCTATTCAAACTATTGTTCAATGAAATTTCATAAAAAACAAAACTTGGATAACTATAAAACTTTGTTGATATTTTTCTTGCTATAAATTCCCATTGAAAAGCAAACAAGCATAAAAGGAACTAAAAATAGATTTTTTTATATTTTTTGGTTTTTTGATATAGAATTATTTATTATTATTAGTATAATTATGTAGTGGTATTAGCTTTTCCTTGTTAGTGCTAATTTTTTCATAAACTGCTTTTATCTGTTTAAGCATTTCTGCATGGTTCTTTTTTGATCCTTGTTTTTTTTTCCTTGTTTTTTTTACTATGATTTTAATCGCTTGATAAAATTGTAGTAATATCGATTCATTATAAGTAGCACTCCTCATTCATAGCACTTTTCATTCATCCAGGTTGAACCTGGGTGAATAGCTGGGTGAACAGATTGATGAATAGCTGGGTGAACAGATGGATAAATAGCTGGGTGAATAGATTGATGAATAGCTGGGTGAAAAGATTGATGAATAGCTGGGTGAACAGATGGATAAATAGCTGGGTGAATAGATTGATGAATAGCTGGGTGAAAAGATTGATGAATAGCTGGGTGAACAGATGGATAAATAGCTGGGTGAATAGATTGATGAATAGCTGGGTGAAAAGATTGATGAATAGCTGGGTGAACAGATGGATAAATAGCTGGGTGAATAGATTGATGAATAGCTGGGTGAAAAGATTGATGAATAGCTGGGTGAACAGATGGATAAATAGCTGGGTGAATAGATTGATGAATAGCTGGGTGAAAAGATTGATGAATAGCTGGGTGAACAGATGGATAAATAGCTGGGTGAATAGATTGATGAATAGCTGGGTGAAAAGATTGATGAATAGCTGGGTGAACAGATGGATAAATAAAGAGAATAAACAAAATAGTTTAGTCCATATAAGTGGTTAAAGAATATTAAAAAAAAAGAAATATTGAAAACTGCTGTCACAATGCTTCCACTTTTGGTGCTAAATGATTAGTGAGTAACACATAAGACTATTCTAATACTTATTAATATTGCATTTTACATTGGTTAACATTAATATTGCATTAACATTGGTTGTTAACATTGTACAACCAATAATTATAAAAGTTATTCAAAGCACAAATGTACAAATATTTTTTTACTTTTTTCATGGTAAAACATTTGAAAACTTTTCTTTTACTCAAAATTTTGTTATTTTTATTTTATTTGTAGCTAAATTTATTTTTTTTGGACCAAATTTGACCAAAAATTAGTCAAAAAGAAACTTGTGGAAAGAGTTTTGGTTATTTGCTTTAAAAAAAGATTCTTGAATATCTAAAATAACTCTAAAAGTTTTAACAGTTTCAAGAGCCAAAAAACATAACAAATTTTTTTGAAACTGTTAAACGAGTTAAAATAAGTTTATGATAAGTATAATTTACATAATAATCCTAACCGATGTTATAATTTGAATGAGACTGGATTTTCTACAGGTTTTTTTAGACACTGCATGCATTTTACCCCCAACTTAAATGCTTCTTGTGGCAAATTTATGTTCTCGGTATTAATATGTGGAAATGTTTTTCTTATGCTACCTTTTGTAGTTTATAAAAAACTTCATAACACTTGGTGTTTAGGGGTCATAATGATGCCCAATATGCTGTATCTAAGTTAGGTTGGATGGAAGCATATGTCTTTGAAAATTGGTTTATCAAGGTAAGTCTGTTAGTAAGATCTTTTCAGACCCTTTTAATTGAGTAGATAAGTTATATTTTATTTGCGTTTTTTTTAAATAATTAAGTTTTCAAAGTTAGTCAACCTGGTAAAGATGTTTATATAGCACTATTTATGGATGGAGATGGTAGCCATCTTACATATATTCTTGCATCAGAGGTAAAATCCAAAAATGTAAGCAGCTTTATCTTAAAACTAACAACATTTTTCTAATTTAGTTTCATTTAAGCTTATTGATAACTTTCTGCAATTTAGATTGCACTCATTTACTTTGGCGAGATTCTCAGAAGTAATTGTGCAAAATGTCTCTTCAAGTTTGCTTTATTGGTTTAAAGAAACAGATGTCATATATAGCAGTCACGCTTTATAACCTTTAGACATCCATTTCTTTAAACTAATGAAGCAAATTTGAAGAGTCATTTTGCACAATTGCTTCCAAGAATCTCACCATACCTTGGTCAATAAAGCTATTTTTCCAAATTTATTAAGACTAACTTGGCTGATATTAAACAATAAAAATAAAAGATAATGACTCACCTCATTGTAAACTCCTTTCAAAGACACTCTAACAGCTATATGCAATAAAAAAAAAGGAGCGAGTAAAAACTAGTGCAAGCAGGCAAGGTTCTCACTGAGAAAGTTGCCTTAACTCAGGAAAAAGAAGAAGTGGCTTCAAAAAATAAGTATAATTAACTTGCTCAAAAAAAAAAAGGTGAGCTAAAAGTATATTTATAAAAAAAAAAACAATATCATTATATGTATAATTTTATTCTTGCATATTTCTTCAAATACACTCGCTATTTGTTCATTAATTTTAGTAACAATTCTGAAACACATATGAAATAAAAATATCATGTGATTTAAATAAAAGCAATATTAACAATCTTTTTTTTGTGCACATTGACTTTTGTTTGGGTCAGCTCTTTCATAAAGCTATTTTAAACAAGGCATACTTTTGTATCAGGCTCTGCAAATACAATATATTTTTGTTTAAAAATGCTTGAAACGTTTACGTAACATACAATGTATGTTACGTCTTTGTATTTTTTTTCTCTTTAGCAAAAGCTAAAGAGAAAAAAAATACAAAGCTTAAAACATTTTTGTTCAGATTACAATTTCAGATTCAGATTACGATAGCGATGGGATTAGCCCCGCATTGTTATTAAAATCGTTAATAAAATTATTTTAATAACTCTAATGTTATTAAAATAATTTTTTTTTAGGCTATGAAAAGTTTTTAACAGTTTGTTGAAAAATGTATAATTATGTTAACAATCTCATGCTCTTTTATCTGTTTTTTAATATTAAAAGGTTGTTGTCCCGATGTTGTTGTTTTATTGAATTCCTGGTTTCATTTTTACTAAACTAATAAAATACATTTTTGTTATAATTTAATTAATTAAGCTACCTTAAATTTTCGAAAAGATTTAAAATTTGTTCAGACTTTTTGCAGCTTAAATTTTTTTTAATCATAATTAAACAAAGCTAAGAAAATTCATATAGTCTATAGACAATATAGTCATTTTTGATCATTTCTGTTGTTATTTTATTAAATTACCTTTCTAAAAGTAACCAAAGCCTTTTCTATTTAATTTTTAAGTTTTTGGAATCATAAATATAACAATAATTTTAATTAAGAATTAATTAAGCTTGGATTATATAAATTAAGAATTAATTAAGCTTGGATTATATAAATTAAGAATTAATTAAGCTTGGATTATATAAATTAAGAATTAATTAAGCTTGGATTATATAAATTAAGAATTAATTAAGCTTGGATTATATAAATTAAGAATTAATTAAGCTTGGATTATATAAATTAAGAATTAATTAAGCTTGGATTATATAAATTAAGAATTAATTAAGCTTGGATTATATAAATTAAGAATTAATTAAGCTTGGATTATATAAATTAAGAATTAATTAAGCTTGGATTATATAAATTAAGAATTAATTAAGCTTGGATTATATAAATTTAAGGTAATTTACATGACATTATCAGTTAAATAATTTTGTTTTTTCATTGTCACTTATTTGATGCTCATTTTTTATATAATTTTTTACATTATTTTAGTAAATATCAATATTTTTAACTATAAGTAACCCTAATTACTTTTGTTTAATAACTTATGGTTGGTTTACTTATGGATGGTGTACTTATGGTTGGTGTACTTGATGTATATTTTATATAAAATTTACTCAAAAATTAAAATAACTAAAAATTTTGTATTTGATTTTTGTCCTAGAAATTTATTATATTTTTAATGCTTTAATTAATTGAACCCTTTCGAATTTCGAAAAGGACACAAGTCCATTTATTCAAACTTTTCAGGAACAACAAAAATAAATTTATAAGAAAAAAAGTCTATGGTGCTAAAGAAACTAAATATAAGAGTAAATAAATAAAAGTCATACATAAGTTTTGAGAGTACTACTTAATAGTAAGGTTGGTCTTGTACCCATCCTTTGTTATCGCTGAAAATCATAATTGACTAAACAATCTATGGATTCACGTGTTGTTACTAAACCTGGTGTGGTCTTAGAGAATGTGAAATGTGACACTTTAGAAATACCAAAAGTAACTTTTTTGTCCTTGGGTACTCCTTTTCCATAGGAATCCACAGATAGCACAAGTTTCTTATAATGGTTTGGCCATCATTTTTTTACATCAATAATATCTTCAGTTTTGGGCCTTCTAATTTCAAATTTTTCGCTTGCTTCAGCTATAAGATTTTCATACTCTGTTGGTGTGTAAATCCGATCATTTTTTCAAATATGTCGTTTTGCTGTTCCAAACATTCTATCATTAGGCAAGAATGAGTGACCTCTTTTTGGTATATAATATTGTATCTCATTTATATTGCTATCTAGTTCAGCTACCAGTGATAAAAGTATTTGGACCATGGCATGATTTCTGTTTTGGCCTGCACAACCATCAGAAAATAGGTGCAATTCTTTGGCTTCGTTGCCAATATTTTTAAAAATATAATCCAACACAAAGGTACATACTTCGTTGGAACCTTTGCTAGAAACTTCTTCACAATATGAATAAAATACTGATTTAACAGTTTTAAAATTGTATATGCAAAACTAGTTGATGTAGATAAAATATTTCCTGGACAGGGATATGTGGAAGTAGCAAATTTTGCATAAAATCAAATGCAATCCCATACACATTTGGATCGTTTTTGCACTTAGTTTCAACTTCCTGTATTTTTTTGTAAAATTTGTTTGCTTGTCTTTTGTGGATCTCAATATCTGCTTGATAGAATCTTTTTGCATTGTCATTAAAATGTGCGTTTTTTAGTTAAATTTTTAACTCTTTGCACAGTCTACAGACATCTATTTGCTTAATGATAAACTAAAATTTTCTTGGAAAAATTTAAGGTAGAACCTATATTTAACAAGATGATCTAGATATTTTCGTGCGTATAATGTGTGCATAATTTTCACCTTGATTTTTTCATCCAAATAATAAGATGATGCATCTTTACTATAGTAGTGCACATATTTAACAGGAAATTATTCGATATGCTCACGTACTTTTGTTAATGTACCTCCAGGTAACGGGTTGCATCGTGATCCCTGAGATTTACCTCTGTGATCTATAGGCTGCTCTTTTTTTTTTTAATAAAATGTATAAACGTCTAACTTGTTTCATAGAAATTCCATGCATACTGCAAAAAGCTTTCTTGCATACTTTTTTTATCACACCTTCAACCTTAATGTGATAAATAAAAGAAAATTCTTTTTCCTTAGGTTCTTCAGATCTAAACCGTCTTCTCTTTATTTCCTTCTTTTCTATCAATGACTGCAAGTATGTGTCTTGGGCATTTTTACTATCAAATCTGTTAAAAAACTGAATTGTACTTTCTATAACATCTTCAGATACAAGCTCTATACACTTTGAATTACATCTGTAAATAAATAAAATTATTGAATTAATATTATGATAATTATATATCAAGATGTTTTACCTCCAATTATGGTGATAAAACATGAGTAAATAAGCAAAAGTTTGAGAACGAATATAGTCATTATATATTATAGAACAAAAAACTAACCTGCAAGAAGCACCTGTTTGCCTTGGTGCCACATCATTTCCTTTGTCGTTTTTATAAGCTTCTCCAGCAATTTTGGCTTTTTTTTATATTTTCATGTTTATAATTTCCACTGTTTCTTATACCAGACACTCTTTTTCTAGATTTATATGCATTTTCAGCAAGCTCGCAATTTTCCATTTTTGTAACAAATAAAGTGAGATTACGTCACTACAGTTGCGCTTTATTTCACTTGAAAAAGGCATAAGTCCGGGACTTGTGCCATTTTCAAACAGACTTTAATTTTCATTTGCATTTAAAGTTGACTTGTGGCATAAGAAAATGTTTCTCCTTCAAAGGGAATATGTAAAACACTTGAATAAATAAAATTGCATTAAAAAGTGAAATTCGAAAAAAGTGTGACTTGTGCCCTTTTCGAAATGACGGGTTCAATTATATATCCAAAAAATTGTTTTGAAACTATATAACATAATTTTTGATAATCAGTGGTGTGAATCAGTTAAGCTTACATTTTGTAATAGCTTTTGCATCTTATTGAAGTCCTAGACTTGGTCACAATATATATTTATTTATTCACCTACTAAAGGGTCCATACAAAATAGCTAATTTGTAGAATTTTTTTATTAGCCTCTGAAACACTATGATAAATAGGATTGCTGTGCTGTGTTGCTGCAGCAAAAAAAAATTTGATTTTAAAATCTAAAGTGATCCCAAAGTGCCATGACTAGACAGAAGTGTCGGGTTGTGTTTATTTCATAAACAAAAATGTTTATTTCATAAACAGAAAATAAGTTTTAAATAAGAGTTAATTAACCAAAAACAGGAAAAACATTTTGTGGAGTGATGATAGTAACTTTGAGTTTATCAATCGCAAATCTAACATAACAGTCAAAAGAATAGCTCACGAAAAGTATTACGCCAGGTACATTAGACCGACTGTACAAAATGGTTGAGGCTTGATAGGAATCTTGTCATGCTTCAGTTACAAGGGTGTTGGTATGTGCCAAACATACACCGGAAGAATCAACTCCATAATAGTTGTAGTACTGCAAGTACAAGAAAACAACCTAATTCATCAATTGACCTGTTTATGCTCAATGATAAACCATGGAAACTTCAACAAGATGGCGCTACTGCATACTATACACCACATACTATAAAGGAGTGGTTCAACGATAATAATATCAAGACAATAACGTTTATCGTTAAAAAACTAAAAATTTCTATTCTCAAATATGAGTGCGTCTAAATTTATGAAAACCACTGTATATAATTTATATAAATACTAAATATTTAGTTTATATTAACTAAAAATATAAATTCTAATTTACTTCCAACAAGGCTGGAGGCAACCACTATTAAGTTGGGAGTTACTAGAAAACAAATAATTGAGTTAAAAAGCAAGGAAGCGATGGGAAGATTGAAATCCATATTGATTGACAAATTTCAAATTTTATGTAATAATCTATTATTTTTTGAAAGTTATGACCATATAAAGTTTTAACCCACCTCAATTTGAGGGGGCTGTAAACTTTGCAGGGTCATAAAAATTGAACACTAAGAGATTATTGCATGAAATTTGAATAAAATAGAAATAGTAAAGAAAATGTTTTAAAAACTCGTTGCTCCTACGTTAAAGGCTGGGTGGGCCAAAAAATTCGGGTATATTTGTTCTCAAGCTCCAATCACCGCAATTCATTGCAAAATCTTCTCATTTGACATGAGCATGAACAAACAAAAGTTTGAAGATTGCACAATGCTTGTAAGTATCACAACTCAAACATCTAAAAATCCAGTGTATACCTCTGCAAGCCATTTGTGATTGTGAAAAATTCAAACACTTTATGGATTCTATTCACAGTTATTCAAAATAAATATCCAAATTCATCATGAGTATTATTTTGGGTTTGAAATAAAAGTTTGTCAGGTAGTGATGTTCCAAATGCAACACTTTACCAGTTAGTGATGATGCAAAATCATTACTGTAGAAAAATATATAGGCTAAAATTTATGGCTGGTACTAAGTATAAAAAGTTATTAAAAAGTTTTTAAAAAGATATTTTTTTTTGTTGATAATAACAAGTAGTAATATATAATAAACTAATAAATATTAAATAAATATATTTAAATTCTTTATGCTTATATTTAGTGCTTTAAATTTATTGCATATAAATGTTTAATCATCAAATAAAATAAAAAATAAAACATCAAAAATTCATTAAAATAACAAATATAATTTATCTGTTGGAATTAGTATTGTTGCAAAAAGAATTAATTTAAATAATATAAGAAATTTAAATAATATAATAAGTATATCATGTTAAATTTATTTGTATACATCACACATTACTGCATATATCATTATGATTGCATGTTGCAATCATGATTGCATGTTACAATTATGTTATCATGATTGCATGTATATTATCATGATTGCATGTTGGATATATGTTGTCATGATTACATGTTGTATGTATGATATCATGATTGCATTCATACAAGGTGCAAGTAGTTGTATGCATGCATCACATTTGCATTTTAATTTCATTAAAAAAAAAAAAAAAAATTTAAAATTTGGCAATTTTCAAATAAATCCTTTCTTTCTAATTAAAAAAATAACAATTATTGTAAAAAATTTTTTTTTCAGCAAACAGTGTGTGGCTTTGATCTTCTCAGAGCAAATGGAAAATCACTTGTTTGTGATGTAAATGGTTTTAGTTTTGTTAAGACATCTCAGAAGTATTATGATGATTGTTCACAATTACTTGGTGAATTAATATTACAAAATTTAGTTCCAAATTTTTGGATACCTTCTCAAATTGACTATCCTCAGTTACCTCTATCACCAGAGACACCTGCTGTTGTGCCAGTAGGCACATCAATGGAGTTACGTTGTGTTGTAGCCATTATACGTCATGGTGACAGAACTCCAAAACAAAAAATGAAAATGGTGGTTAGTCATAAACTGTATGTTATGTTGACTATGATTAGAATTTCGTTTTTTATGAAGTTTAATTTAAAATGTTTATTTACTAAATTTTATTATGTGTTTTGACTTCATTAATTTTCTATTTTATAACTTTTTTTGTGTCAGTTTATTTATTTTATGTATCTTTGCAATAATTGTTTAGTTTTTTAGAATTATGGGATAGATACAACGGAGAAGAGGAAGGCAGACTAAAGTTAAAAAAACCAAAGCAGTTGCAAGAGATATTAGACATTACTCGAACCTTGTTAGAAGGTCAGAGTAGTTTAGGGGAGGTATCTGAAAACAGATTAAAGTTACAACAAATGAAGAGTGTTTTAGAAATGTAAGTATTCATTTTATTTTTAAAGTATATGACAGGTATCAAATGTTATTATTTTTATGTAATCTCTTATATTGTTCTATTATTTATATGTAATATGTTCTATATTATTGTTGTTCTATATTTTTTATTTCTAAAATAATAATATATCTTCAGACTTTGCAAGTGGATCAGCATTTGATTATGCTGAACTAACTGTTGCCAGTGTCTAAGGTTGGCAATTTTTTGCTGACTTCAGATTTTTATAACTTAATTTTATTTGCTATTTCAAAGAATTAAAATAGGCAAAACAAATGCTTTATTTAAGTTCTAAATAAAATAAAAACTAAAAAATGAACGTTTCAATTAAATTCTAAATAAAATGATTGAAATAATAACAAAAACATTTTAATCAAATTTCTAATAAAGTGGTAAAATGCTGCCGTTCATTTTTCAAGTTTTTAAACAAAAGTCTATGTTTGAAAAAAAGTTAGCAAACTCAGTTATTTTCTGACAATTTTATGCTAAATGTGTGCATGTTTGTTGATTATCGTACCACGTTTCTAAATTTTGTGCTGACCTAATCTGGACCTAGTTTTAGGTCATCTTATTTTTTCTAATTCTAAGGGCTGTAAAATTGTTATTGTATCAAAAAAATACTAATGAGTAAAATCATTATATTTTTCCATTCAGGAAACTGAGTATATATACAATTAAAAAGAAGGTTTACATTCACATTTAGAAGCTTCTTCTGCTCTTACCCTAGGGCTTAAAATAAGTGTCAAATACCATCACACCTCTGACTTGCCACACAATTGCCCTTAGGAGTTGATCAACAATGATCCATTATGTCAGTAGAATAACTTATGGTTGGTTTTTCCTTCAAACAGATTGTATGTTATGTATTTTAATCAACCTTATTTATTTTGAATCTGTTTATTTAACCATAAAGTTAAAATTATAAATTTAATTGTAATTTTAAAAAATGTCACTCATATAGTTAAAAACTAGTCATTGGAATGACACCTTAATAAAATAAACAAATAAAAGAAAACAAAAGAAGATGGAGACAAAAATTTTAAAAAAATGTTGTTAAAAATTGAAGCAATATTAAAAAACTGAGACTGACAAAAAAAAAAAGAGAGAATGGATGAGATGACACAAAAGAAAATAAATGTATAATATTGAGATATGCTTAGAAGGAGTGAGATAAACAGTATTGGGAGCAAACTTAAATTCAGCAAAATAAATGCAAACATACATAGACAGATTAAAAATTTATACATATACTTTTAAAAATATATTGAATTTATATTTTTTGTTTTATACTTTTACATTTTTTATAGAAAGAAAAGCAAAAGAGTAATTTTCACATTTTTATTAGTTTAGTTAAATGTTTATATTATCGTGTATTTTTGTGTTGTCTGTTTTTGTGTACGAATAATGCTAATATATTTATTATATCATTATTCAGTTGTTGTTTTTTTAGTATTTTTTTTTTCAATAAAGTATTATAAAAATAATATAATTTATCCCTCTACTCCTCTATCCCTCTATCTACCCCTGTTATGTATTTTATAAGCTTCTTCCCCACCCCAATTAGTATGTGTGCTTTTGATCTAAACCTACCCTTACTTAAAAAAATGTTTATTATTATTATTATATTGCAGTTTTTTTATTTAATTTTTAAAATTTTAGCTAACACAATAACCATATTAAAGATGATAAACCACTTTTTAAGCAACTTTGAAACTACTTTTTAAACCATTTTGAAACAACTTTTTAAACCACTTTGAAACCAATTAGAAACCACTTTTTGAACCACTTTCTAACCACTTTCAAAATGCCATTAAAAAATCAGCTTTTTTTTTGTCAGTTTAAAAAAATTCAGTTTTTGAAAAAAAATCGTATCTGAATAAATTTCATTGATTCATTTCATCAAGAAATCGCTGTTTTACTCAAGAATAATATATGTTTATTTATTGTCAGCTAAATAAATTTTTATAGGTATGGTCATTTTTCTGGTATAAATCGTAAAGTTCAAATTAAATCAATGAATGACAAACGAAATTATGACATGATTACTAAATTTAAAGGGAGAAATAAAACCACTGACTTGTCCATCAGTACTACTAAGTCATTGCTACTCATTTTGAAATGGGGTGGTGAGTTAACTGCTATGGGAAAGAAACAGGCTGAAGAACTTGGAAGGGCTTTTCGGTGTGTTTATCCAGGTGGGCAAGGTTAGATTTTTTGTTTGTTGATCTTGCACATTGATCACATTTGCAATTTTTTTAGAGTTATTTCATTATATAAGTTTATATTTTCAGGAGAATATGGTCGAGTACCAGGTTTTGGATTTTTGCGCTTACATAGTACATATCGCCATGATCTCAAAATATATGCTTCAGATGAAGGAAGAGTACAAGTCACAGCAGCTGCATTTGCTAAAGTTAGCAGAAACAAATTGGATTAATATATATTTTAATAAAAGAATCTATAATTTAAATATTTTTTTGTTTCTTATAGTATAATGTTTTTATGCAACATTTATAAAGTTTATTTGTAGGGGTTATTGGCGCTGGAAGGTGAGTTAGCTCCAGTTTTGGTCAGCTTAGTAAAAAGTGATAAACATGTCTCTGGTATGCTGGATACACCTGGTGATATAAGTGGAACAATGCGCAGGTCAGTTTAAAATGTTTATTTTATGGCTGTTCATAAAGGGAAATAGTTAGCAATTAATGATATTGACCGATGTTTAATAAAAGTTTTTTAAAAAATGTCCAAAAATATAAAATGGTTACCAGGCCTCAACAGAAGTAAATGAGTGCAAGAGCACAGAGAATCTCTCCTAAAACAAACATGACAAGTCATGCAAGCTGCTCTTCTAAACAGCTTTTTACAAGATCATTTAGTTTTTGCACAAGCTCTCTGTTTATTCATTAAAAAAATTACTTACTCATTACAAACATGTTTGTGACGTTTTTGTTAAAAGAATATATACATAACAAGAGTCGTTTATTGCACTGTGAAAAAATTCTTTAGATAAGTATTTTCTTTAATAAAAAAAATTTGACAAAGAGCTATAAAATATTTTATTGCTTAGAAAAAAATATTTTATATCTTATTGTAATAGAATGTAGAAGTTTAAGAATTATAACAACAATTAAAGATTTCATATTAAAAGTATTTATATAATAACAATTTTTTTTAGCAGAACAGTTAATTGTGCATTATTTTTTTATTTTGCTCAAATTAAGTCAAGTCAAGTAACTCATTATAATTAATATATAAAATATATAATTCATTATATAATGTAAAAATTATTATGCAATAATTTAGTATGAAACCAGTCAGTCCAAAGCATTTGCATTTCAATAAGCACTCTTTTATATATATATATTTTTTTTTTTGCATAAGTTTATTATGCAATTATTGATTTATTTCAAAAATTTTAGCTACAACGATAATGGTTTTCTTTTATAAACAACTTTGCAAACTTGACCATAATGTCATATATGTTATGGTGATATTGATTGTTAAGAAAAAAAAATTATTGCATTTTGTAAGCAAAGAAGTTTAATCTTAAACTTAAACTTTGTCTTTTTTATTTGTAGTTGAAATGAAAGTGGTTTACATTTATTCAAAAATTATACTTTTGTGAGAGCCATAAATTATTCCCATTAACCACTTTAGGGCAAAAGCGAGAGCTAAAGCTCTTGTTTCCTGCTGAGGTTTGCCTTAGTTACCATTAGGTTTTAATAGAAAAATATTTATTATATTTATATTGAGGGGGGGGGGGGGTCCAAAATTCTATATTTCTTGTTTAACCACTTATTCTTAATTTTTTGATAAAAGTTCAAAAAAAAATTCAGTTTTTGCTAATTTTTTTCTTAAAAAAATTAGCAAAAACTGAATTTTTATTTTAAAAATTTAAATATATAAAAATTTAAATATATAAAAATCAAAGTCTTTGCAAAAGTTTCTTTGCGTATAAAGTTACACAACTGTTTTTTCTAATTTATGCTATTGATAAATTGATTTTTAATCGTTGCGTTTTAGAAAAAAAAGTTTAATCTGAAGTCTTTTTCTAAACAAAACGTTTTAAGTAATCAAAAAGACAGATTGCTTCAAAATATTTTAATTTCCTTTTTCTTATTTATTTTTAATCGTTATTCAAGCTATCAAAAAGGCTATTCAAAATTTTTTTTTTTTCACTTTTCTTTAATAGTCAAGAATAAATCTTCTTTTAAAGTGCCAGTCAGTAGAAGTTCAGTTAAATTCTAAAGGTTTAACAACTCTAAAGATAAACAGGCTAAAGGAATACTGCTACCTAAAAGGCTTTATAAAAAACAAACTGGGTGATCAAATTTTGAAATTTTCTGCTTTACTCTAAAACACAGTGAATAGCTAGTTAAAAAAAATTCTAGAAGCAGTTAATAAGTATACCTCAAAGAGGTTGAATGATTGTATCATTCTTGCTAGAGTGTTTTGGCAAAAGTTAGCCTCAGTACTTCAAAAAAGAGAAAAATATTATGTGTTGGTTCATGATGGAATATGATTAGTATTAACTTTCTAATTAAGTTGTTGCAGTTGGAAAGCTTTAGAAAAAACCCATTTAATTTCAACAGATGTATACTTAATTATTTAAACCATATAAAAAATGAAGGTTCTCGTAGTTTAAAAATATTTTGGAAAATTATTGTCCAATTATTTGTCTAAAAAGTTGAAACTATGGAATATAGTTGAAACCAGCTACAAAAACAAATGGATAACAATGGAAGAGCATCAAACTTTGCATCAGGTGTGCAAGATGAGTTCTATTTTAGTTTGATTAAAGTTACAAGGCAGCCCATTTAGCTGTGAACTAGACATTATTGAAATAAATAAAAATATGTTAAAATGAAAAAAATTTGAAAAATGAGGTTCTTTATTTAAGGGATACAATGTAGGTCATTGTTGTGGAGGTCTATTCTGTTTAAATACATGATTGTTGATATAAAAATAGAAACCTCCATCTTATGTCTACCAAAGAACACACTCATAACCTAGATGTTCTAGATGGAAAGTTGCCGCAGCAATCTCTATCACATATGATGACTTTTATAGTTTTTTTCCATTTTCAATAGTAAATAACAAACTGTATGAATTATTTTCATATATAATGCTTAATTTTTTTTGTTACTTATAAATCATAAGGTATATTATTGATAAATTAAACAGAAAAAGATTTCTACTTTTCTACTTTTCTTATATTTAATGATAATAATAATTTCATCTATTTTTAACAATGCCTTTTTTTGCCAATATATTCACTTTTATTAAAATCGAAGTAGAAGGCTAAATAATTAAAATGAAAAAAAATGATTATGATTTTCAGAATCAGCATAAAAAACTAATTAAGAAAAATCAGTTAAACTATAAAAAATCTAAAAAAAGATGATTATGGACCCCTATTTATATGTATGTATGTATGTATGTATATATACAGGCCTCGGCGGGAAGTAAGAGCTTAAACGTTTTATGGGAGCAACTAAACGTTTTATGGGAGCAATTTATGGCTCTCGCAAAAGTATAATTTTTTCTTTCAAAAGTATAATTATTATTGTAACTAAAATAAAAAATGCATTTATTTTAATAACTATTTTTAATATTTCTTAAAATGCCTGTTTTTTATTACAATAAGAAAATATAAAACTTTTTTTATAAGCAGTAAAAACAACAAAGACTTTTTTCATGCTGCAATAAACTTGTTATGTATATATTCTTGTTATGTATATATTCTTGTAATATTGACGTAACATAGATATGCTTGAAATGGTGCAAAAAATCTACGAAAGTGCTAACTTATGTTGATATGTTTTATAAAAAAAGAAAAATTCACGTCTATTGTTTTTTGCATATGCAAAAAACGTCTATTTTTTTTGCATATGCATAAAAAAGGTAGACATTAAAAAATAGGTGTTTGCTTAAAATTTTTAAAAACACATGCATTACTTTAGCATGTTTTTTTTCCAAATAATTATGCGCTTGATTGAAAAAACACATATTTTTGATAAAAAAAACAATTACTAAAATTTTAAACACATTTTAAAGACTTAAAAAAAACCATGCTGTAACATGATTATTTCTTTCAAAAAGCGTTACTATTAAGTAAAATAAGTATCAAGGATATTAGTTATGTTTTAGCATAGTTTTTGCATTCACAAAAGCATGCAAAGTTTTACTTAAAATGAATGCATTTGCAATTACTTTAAAAGCAACCATGCTAAAACATTACAATTGTTTTTTTCTAAAGTGTGCTCTTTTTTTAATTTTCTTACTCTTTTATAATCTTTTTCTTTCCTTAACTTTCTCTTTCCTCTTTTTCCGTAACTTTCTTTGTCGACCTTGGTGCACATGAAAACTAACCTTTTATATAGAAATCACCTACTATATTGCGTAAAAGTAATCTTTAAAAGTAATTAACAAATATTTTCATCATTAAAATATCGTTTGTGGGTTTGTAATTTTTTTTAATAAAAATTGTTTTCTTTTATAATTACATTTTTTTATTTTTAAAATCGACTGAGGGTTTGTAATTTTTTTTTTAAATATAATTTTTTTTTTATATATTTTTTTTGGGTTTGTTATTCTTTTTTAAATTTTTTAAAAATTTTTGTTTAATATCATAACTTTTTGTAAAGACTAAAATGTAGATAATAAAATTTAGCAAAAACATAATTTTTTTTGTACCGAAATGTTAAAACAAGTTTTATTTTATTTTTCTTTTATTTTAATTTTTTCAAGTTTGTCCGTTTTTTATTTTATTTGTAAAGAAACTTAGTGAAGTAAATTGAGAAAAAATTTATTGTTTAGTATCAATGGATAACAATTTACAATCGTTAGGTCATTGCTTATTAATTACTATTAATTTGCGCGCACTTTGCAAGTGCGTCAAAAAATGTTTTGAAAAAATATAAATTAATTAAATTCAATAAGCATCATTCATATATCTTATAACTTATTAACTAAAATAAAAACTTATTAACTAAAATAAAACTTTCTTTTTTGACACATATCTCTTAAATGAGATGTTTGTCATTAAATAAAGATACAAATGTCAACGTTCATTAAAAAAACAATATGTTGCGCCCTGGGTTTGTAACAAGTATAAAACCAAAATTTTGTAATTAATAAGCAATTTTTTTAATGAATGAACAGATAGCAGCTTTTTGACGGTATGTTAAGTAAGTTGTTTTTTCTCATCTAACCTTTTATTTATTTATTGATCTATTTTGTGATTATTTCACTTTATGTTGACCGCCCTCAAATCGATTTCTGTTGATACCTTCGTAACTATTGTTATGAAGGTCTCAAACAAAAACTACTCAAGCAGAACACTTAAGTTTAACGAAGCGTGTTGTGTTTGGCATTAACATTGTTTATCAACCAACCTGTTTATTAACCGTAGACACATCTAGCATCTGCTTAAGATATAAAAAACGGGAAGAAGACGAGACAGATAGATATAGTTGAAGTAGATAGAAGTTTGTGGTCAAATTCAGGATTAAATTCAAGGTCAAAGTTGAGGTTGAGGTCGATGGTCAGTCAGAAGAGTTAGTAAACAGACTAACTTATTACGAGACAAACTGTTTAAAGAATATTATAAATTGTATTTGTATATATTAATCATTTATATTTGGGAAACGATATGAAATTTTATATTTAATAAAAGTTACCGTGTATTTTTTATATATTAAGCAGACACTAGACGTGTCTACGATTAATACAACATTATCTTGAATAAAAAGCAGAACCAGTAGAATCTCAGTAGAATGTCAATTATATTTATATTTATATATATGTATATATATATATATATATATATATATATATATATATATATATATATATATATATATATATATATATATATATATATATATATATATATATATATATATATATATATATATATATATATATATATATATATATATATATATATATATATATTAGGGCTGTTCAGTATGCTAATTTGTTTTCAGAACATAGCTAATTGAAGTTTTTCCCATTCAACTATCATATTGTGGTTCAAAAATATTTTTTACTAAATTTTATTATTTGCCCTGAAGGTCGCTCAAAGCCCCTAAACATTTGACAGGTCCCTAATATTATTAAAAAAAAAATTATTTAAAAATATGTCAACTTGGTACTCAAAAGAAGCAAAATTTTATAAAAATTTTAAAAATTAGATTCATTTTTCATAAAAAACAACTTAAAAAAACTTATTATTAAAAATGTTGTGAATATTACCTTTTTTTCATTTTGCGTTTAAAAACCATAGTTTTTATTCAAAAAAACCTAATATTGTTTTTTTATAAAAAATACTTTTTGTTTTTGAAATTTTTAAATGATTTTGCTTCTTTTGAGTACCAAGTTGACATATTTTTAAATATTTTTTTTTTCAATAATATTAGGGACCTGTCAAATGTTTAGGGGCTTTGAGCGACCTTCAGGGCAAATAATAAAATTTAGTAAAAAATATTTTTGAACCACAATATGATAGTTGCATGGGAAAAACTTCAATGAGCTATGTTCTGAAAACAAATTAGCATACTGAACAGCCCTAATATATATATATATATATACACACACACACACACACACACACACACACACACACACACACACACACACACACACACACACACACACACACACACACACACACACACACACATATATATATATATATATAATTAAGAATGACAAAATAATATTAATTGTAATATTTGTAAACAATTTATCTTAGGTAATTTTGTTATTCAAGTAGTAGTTTTATTTTTAGGGTAAAATCGCGTTTACATGAATACCTTCATTCGACAGTAGACTTTAAAAAAGAAGATGAAGAAAAGGTCCTGATAAAATTTTTTTGTTTTTTTCTTTTTTATTTATTACTTTGTTTATGTTTACTAAGATAATTGTTCATAACATTTGCGATACCAATATGTACCCAAAAATCATATGAAACTTGTTTTTACAATACTGATAAATTGAATGTGACATCTTATATTGTCATTGAATGCTAATATTGTTGTGATATATTTTGAGACTTGTTATGCGGGATAAAAATATTTATGATTTTTTTGAAATTTGAAAGCAGGGTAAGTAGTATTTTATTGATAAGTTCTCTATCATTTTAACATTACATTAGAACTAATTTTGGTTTTATAACTCTGATAAAGAGGCTTTTGAATGTTTTTATGTTTTTGTCTAATGATTTAGTTTTTCATTTAACATATTTGAGGAAAGTAAAAAGTTATTTATTTAAGCAATAAGAGAATATGTACCAAAGAAATATGTCGTTGACACTTATTCTTTCACCTGCCAAATAATCATATATGTCGCAAATGTTTAAGCACATAAATCAATTTTAAAAAGTTTGAAAAAATAGTGTAAAATTCACTAAATATATGTTAAAAATCAAAAGTCAAGTGTTTAATTGATTGGACTTTTTCAGCTAGTTATTTGTTAATAACTCTATCAGCGTAACTAGTATGAAATATGCAAATTAATCTTTACTTGTACGAATTACTAAAGTAATTCCCAATTAAAGTTTAATTTCATTAGAGCCATAAGTTGAGTTGCCTTGGTACAAGGTTAGTTGTAAGTTAGTTTATTTTGTCTTTTGATTCTCAAATTATATCAATTTATATCGCAACAATACCATCAATCTTAGCATTATATTGTGTATCTTTTTTTAAATACTAAATTAAAATAATTGCAATATTTTTTTATTTGATTAGTGTTGTTTATGCAATAATCTTGCATTTTTTCAATATTAATGTTACGAAGGTGTGTGTGTATGTGTGCATAATAATCATTGTTAAAATTATTAAATTATAATGATTGTTAAAAAAGTTTATATAATTATTTTTTATTTTCTGTATTATAAAAGTATTTATTTCAGCTTGCACCTACCGGAAGTACTTCTATTATAAAAGCCATGCATGAAGTAGTCAATCCACACCAGATGTGCAAAAGAATTCTAAGACTTGTGAAAACTCTTACTAAGCAAATTAGAGAAAAGTGTGAAGAACCAGGAGTTAATCCTGAGTCACCTACTTTATATCATGATGAAACCCTTAACCTTATGCGTCATAGATGGGAAAAGTTGGAAAAAGATTTTTCTGGTGGTGATGAGTTCGACATTAGCCTTATTCCAGACATCTATGATAGTGTAAAGTTTGATTATGTTCATAATAGGTGCGTTGTTAAATGTTAAATGATATCTGGTTGTATATTGCTATATATATTACTGTGGATTTAGTTTGGCACTATACTAATATATTCTGCTCACTTTAGTTTTTAAAATGTTGATTAATCAAGACATTTTTAAAAATAAATAAGAAAAGGAAATTTAATTAAAAACTTAATCATACTTTGCTATAAATGTAATAGATAAATTTTGCCTGTCCAAATTCGAACATTCAGTTAATGTATGTCTTAAAACCATATTAAAAACATATATTTTTTTGTTTTTGTTTGAGGATGAAAATTACTTCTAATGAATACTTATAATGAAAAAACACTATTATGAGCATTCTACTAAGCTTCAGCTTCTGTCCTATACAGATCGTAAGAGCTTAAAACTGTTAATTTCATACTCTTGAATATTTTTTACTGATAAACTCTACATTTGTACATGGTTTTGTTGGTGCTGTTGAGTTTGACTAAAATTAATACTATGAAATATTGTTGGAGGTACTTTTGGCTGTTTATTATCATTATTCATTATCAAACTAACATTTTCAGGCCAATGTTTTGAGCATACCACAGTATATTTTGAATTAGGGATATTTCTTTGAAGTTGAAGTCATCCATCATAAACGTTCATCTTTGTCTATTGGTAAACAATAAACAGATATGTATTTCTTATCATTTTTATCATAGTTTGGTGAACATGAAGTAACACAACAATTTAGAGGCATAGTGCATTCAGTAATTTTTTGTAATATCTCACATGGTTCCCTTTCAAATTACTGCTAAGAAATCAGCCTCCAGTTATCCCATTTGATTGCGTGATTGCAAGACCTGTTGTAAAGATAGCCTTGGCTCAAATCATAAAAGATAGATTATTGCTGATGGAAAATTCAACTTTGTTATTAGATTTACTTGTTAGTTTATTTGACTGCCACATGCACCAGCTATTCATACATCAAGGACAAAGTTTACATCATTCTGTTTTATCAATAATATTTGAGTTATGGAAAAGTGTTTAACCAAATACTCTTTCATTTCATAATTGAAACATTTTTCTTATTGCAGTACCATAATAGTTCTAGAAATTATTAATGGTGATCTAAGGTTTTTAGACCATTTATGTATATTATTTATATAACTGTTTAAATAATCAGTTTGTGGGCTTGTCTAAGAATTAAAATCATATTTCATAAATGGTGCAACATACATAATCCATAAATGATGCAAGATAAATACAAAGATGATGAATGATAAATACTCTGTTCATGCTGCTTGCATGCAGACCATTTTTGTATTTATCTTGCACCATTTTTAAAACAGTATCTTCTGTCAACCATTTTAAAAAATATTCTTTGTTCTCTGGTAACTTAAATTCTGATAGCTTGCAGTAATGTTAGAGTGAATTACTTTTTTTTAAAAAAGCATCAATTTATGAGGATGTGATAACCTTTGCATTGTTTTAAGAGAAAAATCATTGTCAAATAATATTTATTTATTTGTTAATATATCAAAGTTACAACACCATATTTATGGAATGATCTATTGATTTGACTCTGAATTGTTCTGTTTTTATAGTTCAAATGATTCAAATCTTTTGCATAGAATAATTTTTAGCTTGTATGACTTGGTTACGGGACTGATTTCACTTTACTTCAAAACTGTCACTAACTAACCATCTTTTATTTTAATTGTTGTTGTTATGTTTTTGTACATAGCTCAGTGTTGAGGTACACTACCTCAGTTGGTCAAAAGCTTTTAAGGTCAAGAAATACGATTTTTATGTAGATTTTTTTACTATTCTAAAAACTATTCCTGAACTTATGTTACAATAAATATTTTATATATTACTTGCCTTACCACAGAGTGTTTAACCAGGCCAAAAATTTGAAGGCCAAGGCCACACTTAGAAGGCCAAGACCAAGGCCAAAAGTTAAAAGGCCAAAGACAAGGCTAAGGCCAAGAGTTTTAAGGTCAAGACCAAGATTAAGAATTTCAAGACCTACCCATTTTCAACATTTCAAACATTTTCAAGATCTAAGACTTTAATTTTTGCCATATGTTAAGGCCAATTTTTAACAAAACAGTAGCAAGTGCAGTGACAATAAAACCACATTTTGTAAAAATAGACCAAGGTAATGCTCAAAATTCAATAAAATCAAGGCACAGGCCAAAATTTTCAAGGCCAAGACCAAGGCCAAGGCTAACAGTTTCAAGGTCAAGGCCTTAATTTTTGGCCTTAAGGCAAGGCCAAAGACTAACAACGTAGGCTTACCATAAATATTACAAGTATTGTTCTTTCCCTTCCTGGCCTAAAATGAAACTGCATATTATTGATAAATATAAAGTTAAACTAAATTATTGTTATTCCGAAATTAGTTTGCAAGAGTGTATATATATATATATATATATGTATATATATATATATATATATATATATATATATATATATATATATATATATATATATATATATATATATATATATATATATATATATATATATATATATGTGTGTGTGTGTGTGTGTGTGTTTTGGTAATATAGGGCTTAACTTGTTTTTCAATGCAGTGTTTGCCATTGGCTTAGAGTTAAGAGTTTGTAGCCACAGTAAATAAAAAATAATTTCTAAACAAATATCCTACTGTAGTTTTCCTGTAGCTTATTATATCTTGTTATATATATATATATATATATATATATATATATATATATATATATATATATATATATATATATATATATATATATATGTATATATATATATTATCAGGTTTGGACAAGAATGGCGTGCGATCGCACTCTGTAACTGACTTCACTAATATTTTTATTTCTTGACCATGGCTGTTTTGATGTTTTAACAATTTGAATGCAATAAAAAAAGTGTTACGTTATAAATATCTTTTTAATATAATTTTTTATTTATTTATTTTTTTTTTATAATTTTTTTAAGTAACTTTAATTTGTGAATAAGTTCAAAAGCTTGTGTGACTACTAGCTTTTACACATTTTATGCGAATTGCACAAGAATATAAAATAACTTTATTTACTTATATAAGCATGTATTTTGTTGATTAACGAAAAAGTTTTAAAGCATTTTGTAATGTTCATATGATTAATTTTTTTAAACTTACGAATAATTTGAATTCATTTTTTTTTTTGTTTGTTTCAATTTTGTTAGGAATGAATGAGTTTAAATCTTTTATAATAATTTTTAAATTCGTTACGCGAGGCGCTTATTGATAAAGTTGTAATGCTCAAATTAAAATTAAACTAAAATGCTTGTTGGCAGTTAATTTTATTTAAATCGCAAGCCCATAATATTTATTATTTTTTTTTTTTTCTATTTTTACGAATAAAAAAGTTGAAATTAGACTTACTAATTTCAACTTTTCTAATGAGAACATGAATTTAGTAAATTTAGTAAAAATAACTATTTTAAAAAGACTATGTTATATTTTTAAACAATTTTTTTTTTGAAACTTTTTTGTAAAAATAAATGTTTATACAATTTAAAAAAATGATATACAACACTTTTGAATAAATTTATTAAAATTTGTTCATTTATTAAACCAATCATTAGAAGTAATTTATTACTAAATTTAAAAACGTTTTGCGTAACTTTAATAATGTTTAAAAAGATAAGCTTTAATAACGTTTATTTCATACTTAATAAAAAATGTAACAAAAAGTTTCGCTTCCAGTTTAAGTTTTTATTTTCATTTTAGTGCTTATATAATTTCCTTTTCGTTATGAATTTGTTTTTTGTATTTTTTTTTCGTTAGGAATTTTTTTTTTGTTAGTTTTTTTTTTAATATTTTTCCTAGTTTAAGTTAAGCTTAGCGTTTCTACATTCAGAAATTTTTAAATCGTCAAAACATATAAATAATCGTGGTCAAGTTGTCAAAAAATAAAACCATTTGTATATATATATGTATATATATATATATATATATATATATATATATATATATATATATATATATATATATATATACATATATATATATATATATATATATATATATATATATATATATATATATGTATATATATATATATATATATTATATATATATATATATATATATATATATATATATATATATATATATATATATATATATATGTATATATATATATATATATATATGTATATATATATGTATATATATATATGTATTATATATATATATATATATGTATATATATATATATATGTATATATATATATATATATATATATATATATATATATATATATATATATATATATATGTATATATATATATATATATATATATATGTATATATATATATATATATATATATATATATATATATATATACATATATATATATATATATATATTTCGATATATATATATATATTTCGACATATATATATATATATATGTCGAAATATTATGATTTGTGCAATAACAGGTCAAAATATTATGAAGAAAAAATTTAGTTTGCTGCGTGCAAACTAAATTTTTTCTTCATAATATATCGATGTGTTATTGCACAAATCATCATCAGACAAAATAAAATACAAAAACTGTTACAAATATTACATAAAAATGTCTAAGAAGACATTAAAGAGAAGCCATAGATGATTACATAACATCGTATATACAAAATTAGCAAATTTTATTTAATTCTGTTTTTTTGAATAATTTTTTTAAAATAGAGTTCTCCAACTTTTTGTAGGAATTTTAAGAATTTATAGAAAAAAATGAACTGTTTAAAATTTATCCATTTGATAAAGAAGTAGGATTTGTACTGATAAAGAAATTGGATGCATTTTATAAATTAGAAGAGGAATTCGAACACTCAGTAACTATCGACTATGACCCTACTCAAACCCTTATGACTAAATTCCAGAAACTATTATGCAAATTACAAAAACAAAAAAAAATGAGATGACAAGACTTATTTTCAACTGTACCCTTTTGATTGCGTCCTTCCATGTTTATATGGAGTCATAAAAGCTCACAAATCAGTAAAGAATTATCCTATGTGTCATTTCTACCATAGGTACTCCACCACATGGATCATCAGAGTATCTTGTAAAATTTGTATAACCAACCTTAAACAAAAACAAAGCAAGATTATTAAACTCCTCATTAGTCACCAAAGCAAAATCTTGGTTTATTGATCTAGTGAAATTCCTTGTGAAGTCTTTTTTGATGTGGTGGTGTTGTAACCCTCCATTCTAATTGACAGAGCAATTACTATGATTATCAATATTTTAAACAATGATATTGATAATCTTAAAAAAAGAACCACATAAACTTTTAATGATTTTCATGAAATGATTGAACTCTGTCTCAATCAATTTTATTTTTTATACAAATATGGGTCTTTAATGGTTGTAGTTGCCAAGGCGTTTTTGCAGCATTTAAAAACAAAAGGCTGGTCAATTTTTGCCAAAGACTTACAGAAGGTATACAGATGACAGTCATGCTAGCTTTGACTCAATACAAAATCATGCTAAGTTTCTGGAGTTATTAAATAAACAAGATCCAGCAATAAAATATACTTCAGAAAAATAAAAAAGAGTTAAACTTCTTGGATATAACTGTAACCAACACTAATAACTTATACTATGACTTCAAATTCCATTAGAAATTGGCTATCACTAATATGCAAATAAAACCAACATCAAATGTTAATCAAAAAATTGTTATAGGTGTTTTTAAAGGTTTTTTATCTTGTGCCATTAAGATTTGTTCTACAAAGTATCTTAATGATGAAATACAGCTTTTAGTTAACATGTTTGCGATACTATATTCAGAAAAGAAACAACCTTTCTAAAATAATATATAATAAAACAGAAACAAGTAAATATACAGTTAAGCTTCCTGGCTCCAAAGAATAGGTCCTAAACTTAGAAAAGAACTCAAACCTTACAACATCAGGTATTTTTACTGCACCACCATGTACATGAAATAACATCTTATGCAACAAATCAAAATTAATTTCCAATAGCAATACCGGTGTCTACAAAGACACATGCTCATGTGGCAGTATATATTGGCAAAACAAAAAAGAAAATTTTAACAAGATGTATTAAATATCATAAAAACTATTTAAAAGGTAAATGGGATGCATCTGGGGGCAACCAAACATGGTAGAAATGTAATAGCTTGTTGGATCACATCTGAAAACTCTAACAATAAAATCAGAGTATGATGAACGTAAAATTAGAGAATCAATTGAAATTAACTACATCCCAGCATACCAGCAAAAAAATCACGCTCCTATGCCTCTCAACTGTAACAATGGCGTTAAAATTTCTACAAACAGATGGAGACCTCTATTTTAAAAGATTATCTAAAAAAAACAAAATTAATTAATATTTGCTATATTTATATAAACATTGTTATGTAATAATTTATTTGTTTATGATCTTTTTTTAAATGTCTTCTTTGACATTTTTATGCAGTATTTGTAACGGTTTTTTGTATTATATTAAGTCTGATGACGATCAAAATATTTTTTCTCATAATATTTGGACCTGTGCTATTATATATATATATATATATATATATATATATATATATATATATATATATATATATATATATATATATATATATATATATATATATATATATATATATATATATATATATATATATATATATATATATATATATATATATATATATATATATATATTATATATATTATATATATATATATATATATATATATATATATATATATATATATATATATATATATATATATATATATATATATATATATATATATATATATATATATATATACATATATATATACATATGTAAGCCTTTTTTATATTTGTCTTCTTGTTTACATAGGTCTTTGGGACTAGATAATCTTTCAGAGTTATATAAGTGTACTAAAGCTCTTGCAGACATCGTCATGCCATTGGTAAGAAATATTTTATAAAGAAAATCAGAAATATAAAAATTTATTTTCTTTTTTTTTTTTCCTCCTTTTTTTTAAACAAACCCATTATCATCAAAAAAGTATCCACTAATTTAGTTAGGAATTGACAGAAAACAAAAAGGAACAAGAAAATGGTTGACAAAAAACATCAGTTGAGTTAGAAAAACTTGGAGATTAAAGATAAATTATGTACAATAATAATGATTGCAGAAAAAAATTTAGAAAAACTAGGAATAGTTTTTCTAACTTTTTTTACAGTACAAGGAAGCAATTTTGATAAATGACAAGCTACACAAGATTGATAAACTAGATCATGTTTATCAACATTTATATTTTGTTATTTGATTTTGCCTAAATAAGAGATTGCATCATTAAAAGAAACAGCTTAAATATGTCAACAATATTCTATTCAGTTTCAAAAAAGCCAGTCTCAGAAAGATCAGCTGCTTGTTCAAGGCAATCAAAAAGTGATGAAAGTTTGACCAGAGATTATATTTCTTTAATCAGCTAACATAATATAATGTCATCATCATCATCAGAACTTTTGAGGTAAGATTAACAGGAAGATTGTTAATATAATTAAATATGGGTAACTCAGAAGTTACTGGAAATAAAGGAGATAAACTTAAAGGTTTAATAAAGATTATCATCTAAGGTTTGATAAAGGTTATCATCTAAGGTTTAATAAAGATTATCATCTAAGGTTTAATAAAGATTATCATCTAAGGTTTAATAAAGATTATCATCTAAGGTTTAATAAAGATTATCATCTAAGGTTTAATAAAGATTATCATCTAAGGTTTAATAAAGATTATCATCTAAGGTTTAATAAAAATTATCATCTAAGATTTAATAAAGATTATCATCTAAGGTTTAATAAAGATTATCATCTAAGGTTTAATAAAGATTATCATCTAAGGTTTAATAAAAATTATCATCTAAGGTTTAATAAAGATTATCATCTAAGGTTTGATAAAGGTTATCATCTAAGGTTTGATAAAGGTTATCATCTAAGGTTTAATAAAGATTATCATCTAAGGTTTAATAAAGATTATCATCTAAGGTTTAATAAAGATTATCATCTAAGGTTTAATAAAGATTATCATCTAAGGTTTAATAAAAATTATCATCTAAGGTTTAATAAAGATTATCATCTAAGGTTTAATAAAGATTATCATCTAAGGTTTAATTTAGATTATCATCTAAGGTTTAATAAAGGTTATCATCTAAGGTTTAATAAAAATTATCATCTAAGGTTTAATAAAGATTATCATCTAAGGTTTAATAAAGATTATCATCTAAGGTTTAATAAAAATTATCATCTAAGATTTAATAAAGATTATCATCTAAGGTTTAATAAAGATTATCATCTAAGATTTAATAAAAGTTATCATCTAAGATTTAATAAAGATTATCATCTAAGGTTTATTAAAAATTATCATCTAAGGTTTAATAAAGATTATCATCTAAGGTTTAATAAAGATTATCGTCTAAGGTTTAATAAAAGTTATCATCTAAGGTGTAATAAAGATTATCATCTAAGGTGTAATAAAGATTATCATCTAAGGTTTAATAAAGATTGTCATCTAAGATTTAATAAAGATTGTCATCTAAGGTTTAATAAAGATTATCATCTAAGGTTTAATAAAGATTATCATCTAAGGTTTAATAAAGATTATCATCTAAGATTTAATATAGATTATCATCTAAGGTTTAATAAAGATTTTCATCTAAGATTTAATAAAAATTATCATCTAAGGTTTAATAAAGATTATCATCTAAGGTTTAATAAAGATTATCATCTAAGGTTTAATAAAGATTGTCATCTAAGGTTTAATAAAGATTATCATCTAAGGTTTAATTTAGATTATCATCTAAGGTTTAATAAAGGTTATCATCTAAGGTTTAATAAAAATTATCATCTAAGGTTTAATAAAGATTATCATTTAAGGTTTAATAAAGATTATCATCTAAGGTTTAATAAAAATTATCATCTAAGATTTAATAAAGATTATCATCTAAGGTTTAATAAAGATTATCATCTAAGGTTTAATAAAGATTGTCATCTAAGGTTTAATAAAGATTGTCATCTAAGGTTTAATAAAGATTATCATCTAAGGTTTAATAAAGGTTATCTAAGGTTTAATAAAGATTATCATCTAAGATTTAATAAAAGTTATCATCTAAGATTTAATAAAGATTATCATCTAAGGTTTAATAAAAATTATCATCTAAGGTTTAATAAAGATTATCATCTAAGGTTTAATTTAGATTATCATCTAAGGTTTAATAAAGGTTATCATCTAAGGTTTAATAAAAATTATCATCTAAGGTTTAATAAAGATTATCATCTAAGGTTTAATAAAGATTATCATCTAAGGTTTAATAAAAATTATCATCTAAGATTTAATAAAAATTATCATCTAAGGTTTAATAAAGATTATCATCTAAGGTTTAATAAAAATTATCATCTAAGATTTAATAAAGATTATCATCTAAGGTTTAATAAAGATTATCATCTAAGGTTTAATAAAGATTATCATCTAAGGTTTAATAAAAATTATCATCTAAGGTTTAATAAAGATTATCATCTAAGGTTTAATAAAGATTGTCATCTAAGGTTTAATAAAGATTGTCATCTAAGGTTTAATAAAGATTATCATCTAAGATTTAATAAAAATTATCATCTAAGGTTTAATAAAGATTATCATCTAAGGTTTAATAAAGGTTATCTAAGGTTTAATAAAAATTATCATCTAGAGTTTAATAAAGATTATCACCTAAGGTTTAATAAAGATTATCATCTAAGGTTTAATAAAGATTATCATCTAAGGTTTAATAAAGATTATCATCTAAGGTTTAATAAAGATTATCATCTAAGGTTTACTCCTATTCTTAACCACAATTAAATATTCAAAGTTAAAGATTTTAAATACAAAAGTGTATTGAAATTGAAATAATGTTGCAAGAGAGTTAGTCATTTTTTAAAAATCATTTGGTTACTCCTCTGCAATCTGAACAGATTTTTTTTTTTCAAAAATAATTATATTGCTGCTCCAATGATTCTGATTCTAGGAGTATGGTATTACAAGTAGTGAAAAGGCAGCAATTTCCAAACAAATGTGCCAATGTTTTTTTCGTAAAATTCAAGCTGATTTGCATTACAATGTGCACCAACTGGAAGATACAGTTCATAGACTAGATCCCAGGTATTTTTTATGCACTTAAAATAGATTCCAGATCTGATTTTGTACATTATAAATCTATTTAAGTTAATTTTTTTTTTTTTTTTTTTTTATATTTCCACTTTCTGAAAAAATCAATTTATTTTTATTTTCTTGATTTTTGGTGGTGAAGTCAAGTCAGTGAAAGTGAAACCCAAATAAGCACTTAAGTCATTTTGTTTAAATTAGAACAGGGGTTTTCATTTTGTACAAACAGTATATGGAATATTTTATCTTAATAGTGGAAATTTAACGTCATAACATCATAATAAAACTTTTATTTGTTCTTTAAACAATGTTGTTAAGTTGTTAATTCAAAAAAAATTTTAAAAGTTATATTATTTAAAGTAAATGTTTTCAATAATTTTAACAAAATTAAATTAAATTTTTTTTATATTAAATTGTTTAATAAATAAGCATTAATAAGCGTTAATTTTTTTAGTTAATATTCGCAAAAAATGTTTTTTAATTTAGTTTTGTAAAAATGTTTGCTTAAAATGTTATGTATAATAAAAATATGTTTTTAATAGAAATGAATTTCATTAAAAAGTTTGTTAAATTTGCTATGAATAAATATTTTTTAAGGAGCAATTGAAAAATTTTATGTTTTATAGCATAATTTAAAAGATTTGTTAATATTTTAACAATGAGGAAACATTAAATAAAAATTTATTTTAAATAGATTCAATTAAATATTAAAAAAATTGTTCATTAAATCAAAAAATATTAAAACAGTTAACCATTAGTCAAGTTAGCGTTGTGATATTAAGTTAGTAGATCAAAACAGTAACCAAGATAAAATATATATAAAAGAGAAATAAGTACTAGGTAAAAAAAAATGCAATCGGACACATTCAATAAATAAGAACTTAAGAAATTTAAAGAAATCTTTCTTCAAATGTATTGTTTAGTAGATAATAGTTTCAAAATAATAATGAACTAAAGGAAGCTGTATAGCAAATAAAAACTTTTTACAAGTATAGGTAACACCAATGTCTAATCTAACAATTGCTCAACTGGAGGTAACAGTTGCTCAACTAGAGGTAGCAATGAACGCTCAAACAACAATTGCTCTTGATGACTTAACAAAGAGTGTGCATAATCACTCTCATTGACAACCTATTTTAGTTTTATAGGCGTGACACACTGCAATGCATTATTTTCTTTAAAATAAGAACCTAAAACCTTTTAATTGTGAACCGCAAAAAATCACAAATTAAAAAAAGATTTTTTCAGAAAGTTTTAAAACTTATTTTTAATTACTATTTTTGATTTTGAAAAAATACATATTTATTATGCATAAATATTTTATTATTATGTTTTTATATTTTACACATCATTTTATGTTAAATGCTTTTTATATATTTGTAGTGATTCACATAATGTTTTAACACCACATCGTCATGTCAGAACAAGGCTTTACATTACTAGTGAAAGTCACGTGCATTCTATTGTTTCTGCTTTGCGGTTCGGAAATCTGTTTGATGTACACATTATTGATTATGTGTTTTTTCATTTTTCTTTTTTAATTATCTGAGTTTGCTAAACTTAGTTTCTGAATTTTAGAATGTAAATGACGCTCAATGGAAGA